AGAGTCAGATAGCAGGCCCCTCACGTATCTAGTCTCCTTTATATCTTTACATCTGTGGGAGCTGGAGAGCAGTTTTGTGCACAGGAACTGAGTATCATCCTGGGATCTGGAAATCCTATCCACATCTCCAGCCAGCTTCACCAGGTGTTTCAAAGACACACTGTAATGTTTTTACAAGCCTGCCTTTCTACTAGATGGTACTCAGCAGTAATATTCACTATATTTACACTTCCTCAACATGAGAGAGCACTTCCAGACCTGCTTCAAAATGTGGCAAGAATGGTGGGACAAGTGCGTTCAGACTGAGGGGGAATATTTGGAGGGGTATTAGTAGCAGTGTGTCTTTTACTGTAATAAAAATTTTAATTGAAATATTCATCCTATATTTTGATCACTTCTTATATTTTAATTGTACTTAGGGAATTAAATAATCAACTTTGGCTCTCTTCCTGTCCCTGGCCATACCTATTTTGATATGGAGTTGTTTGCTTATGTGGCCTCATTTAAAACACCCCAAGAGAGCTGGAGATTTGGCTCAGTGGTTCTGCCGCCTGCCTCACAAGCACAAGGTTCTGAGTTTGATCCCCAGTACCAAAATAAAAAGGACTCCTAGCTTTGAAATATCAGTTGACATAGTTATTTTAATTCAGCGCTTCTTCCCCACTCAGACTATGTGAGTGATTAGAATGATAGATTCGGCGATATTTTTACCAAGTGACAGTTTGCCTACATACATAGAAGTGTGTGATTTTCTTCTTATAACCCTGGACATACTAAGATAAATTCAATATTTCAGTGCAATAGCCGTGGCCCTAAAATTGTTGACTTTACAGTGGTTTTTTTTTCCTTACCTTAATTCGTCTGAGTTAGGTGGGTGTTGAAATTGATAGAGAATTTTTTGCCAATTACCTTTGTAAGATCACTGGGATCATGACAGTAGTCTGTTCTCCACACATCTAAGAGTCCTGTCAGTGAAACTAGACATAGCCAGGTCCATTGGCACAAACTTAGTTGTTAGATTCACAGCAGTAAGTTATAAACTAGCACACTGGTTTATTAACTTACAGTGGGAGCTCTGCTCTTTCATAGGGTATTTGTCTACTGTTCATAATACTCCTTTTCCTGGCAGTATGATACCTAAGAAGTTAAATTGAAAATTAGAAAGCTGCTGGATGTGGTGGTGCAGGCCTGTAATCCAGTCACGCAGGAGACTGAGCAAGATCACAAATTTGAAGCTAGCCCATGGGACTTAGTGAGACCCTGTCTCAAAATTTTTAAAAAGGGGCTGGAGATGTAGGTCAGTGGTAGAATGCTTGCCCAGCATCCTTGAGGCCCTGAGTATAGTACTGAAAAAAAAGAGAAAAAATTACAAGGCTGGTGAACAAGGAATCAAGTTATGTCATCAAAACCATGAAGAAGTCATAGAATCTTCTGTCCTCAGAGCAAGTACTTTCATTGAATAGAATACTCTTGTCTACAGATTCACTTTTCTTTTTTGAACAGACTGGGTAAACTCTATCAAATTCTACCTTTTTGGCCTCCTTTTCTGTAGTAGTATTTCCTTAATAGTTACAATGAAATCGATTAGGCTCTTGCTTATGTTTTTGTTTCATCAGTCATTTTACAGTTATAAGCCACGCATGGTGGTGCACACCAATAAGTCCAGCACTTGGGAGGCTAAGGAAGGAGGATCACCACAAGTTTGAGTCCAACCTGAGCTACATAGTGAGTTCAGGGACATAGTAATACCCTGTCACCAAAAATACAAAATAAAATGAAACAAAACACAGTTATGAGATATGATATCTATGGTTATAGTTTTTCAAGTTTTCTCTGTTCTCCCCCCTACTTTTTGTTTTGGTACTGGGGATTGAACTTGGGCCCTTGCATTTGTGAAACAGGCACCAGAACCACTGAGCTAAATCCCCAGCCCTTTTTCCCCCTCTTTTAGGCAGAATCTTACTGTGTTGTCCAGGTGAGGCTTGAACTCACATATAGTCCAGGCTGGCCTTAAATTCTTGACCCTATTGCTTCAAGCTCTAGAGGTGGGTTATTCTTCTATACTTTCTATTTACCATCTCTTCAGGCAGGTTACTTCTTATCCATTATTCAAGACTTAGTTGCTGCAAGAGTCTCATCAACAGGGATGTATGGAGCTCAGTGGCAGAGGGCCTGCTTGCATGTATGCAGCCTTGGATTTCATCCCGGTACTGCATAAAGAAAATAAAAAGTCTACGAGGAGGAATTGACTATAGCCCCTATGTATTTAGAATTCCTGGTATGTTAATGTCCTGCTATTTACAGTAATTTATTAAATCTCAAAGTAGAATAAAAATTGGGTTAATAATCAAGATATCAAAGCATAAAACACTGGTGTTCCTTGTTCTGGATCTATTCATTCCTGATGATGTAATGCTCAGTCTTCTACCTCTGTACGCAAGGATGAGTAAAAGAATAGCCCTGTTGGGCCCAGGATGTAGCTCAGTGGTGCCACCACCTGCCTTGCAAGTGCAAGGTCCTGAGTTTGATCCCTGGAACAAAAAAAAAAAAAAAAAAAAAAAAAAAAAAAAAAAAAAAAAAAAAAAAAAAAA